CAATATATATATATATATATATATATATATATATATATATATACATCTTAAATCACTCTGATTGTTTAACTTATTTTACGTTTATTGTTTCTGAATGAGAATAGTGTATTTTTGGCGATTAGTTCATAATTGAGCGATTAGCTCTTGCGTATGTTAAATTTTATGAGTTATGATGTCGACGTAAATGTACTCCAATCATGTTGAGTTGCATTGTTTTTGTTATTGTTGTATACATATATTTTTATTTATTAATTTAATCGCTATTATTTTGATTAAATTGCTAGTGTTATATTGTTTAGTTAAGCTGCTTTAATTGATGTAACGTTACATTGTTTAGTTAAGCTGCTTTAATTGATGTAACGTTTTTATTATTAGATGTACAAAAAAGTTCTGAGCTTTTTTTGTAAAATTCAATCTTTATTCAAAAACAAACAAAAAATATTAATCAACAAAATATTCCCCGTTATCAACAACCTTTTGCCATCTTTCGGGTAGCTTGCGAATTCCTTAACGATAGAAGCTCACCGACTTCGAAACGATAAAGTCATCAATGCATTTTCGTATCTCTTCAAATCTCATGAAATATGTATCAGCCAAATGATGCTGCAGTGACCGGAATAGGTAGTAATCGGAAGGCGCCATGTCTGGGCTATACGCCGCATGCGGGAGAAGTTCTCAGCCTAACGCAAAGATATGGTCCTGAGTCGCTTTCGCAACATGTGGTCGAGCATTGTCATGAAGCAAGATCACTTTACGACGTCCTTGGCCAGTAAATGGCCTCTTTTCTTTTAATGCATCGCTCAAATTGGTCAATTGTTGTTACGGTCTGCCGTGATTGTTTCACCCGGTTGTAACAACTCGTAATACAACACACCTTTCCAATCTCTCCAGATACAGAGCAAAACCTTCTTGGCGTGGATTGGGCTTCGGCGTCGATGTCGAAGGTTGACCAGGATCAACCCATGATTTTCTACGTTTAGGGTTATCATAAAGAATCCACTTTTCATCGCCTGTAATGATTTGGTGCAGAAAAATCTTTTTTCCGGAACTTTGAAAGCAAAATGAGTGCAGTGTCACGCCGACGATTTTTGTTGTCTTCGGACAATTCATGTGGAACCCATCTACCTTCCTTCTGAACTTTTCCCATCGTATATAAATGTACGGAAATGGTTTGCTGCGTAACGCCAAGCTGTTCTGCAAGCTCCTTTTCAATTTGCGCAGAATTTATATCCAGCAGTGCTTGCAATTCGTCCGTTTCAATCTTTTGAAGGCGTCCAACACGCGGTTTATCTTCAAGACTGAAATCTCCTTGGCGAAATTTTTGATACCATCTTTTACATGTAGTATGACTTACAGCGTTCTCTCCATATGCAGCATAAATCATTGCAGTGGTTTCAGCAGCATTTTTCTCCAGATGAAACGCTAAGTGGATGGAAAATCGAATACGCTCTTTTGTTATTGCCATCGTGAACACTACTGATTTTTGAGGTTATGTGCATCAAACGCCAAACTGAATGGCATTTTAGAAAATCAAATGTCAACGCTTTAAATTCGCAAAAAGGCGGGAAGATATATAAAATTTAAATTGTTATTTCGGTTGTATGAAGTCTAAAGCTCAGAACTTTTTTGTACACCTAATATTTCTCTTTTGCGTTTTACTGTTATTATTATTATCTTTGTATGTATAAACGTTAGTATTTAATTATTTATTTATTTATTTGTTATACACTGCAGTTTAGTTTAATTTTTGTGTTAGATGTATTGTTGATTTATTGATCTTTTATATATATCTTTTATATATATCTTAATAATTTAATGTAGTGTTAAATATATATTATAAAATTTTATTCTCTTTCATCATATTATATCTTTATCTTGTTATTTGTGTTATTTTATTGTTATAAATTTTTCTTTACACTTATTTATATTATCTTTATTTTATCTTATATTATTATATATTTATTAGCAACATGATTAGGAGCATTAGATAGTTGTTCTGCTAGGTACAGCATCTCAATTGATAGTTTTATAAACAGTATATATTCTTTATTTGTTCTTTGGAACACATACCTCTCCCAGTCGCTGTAGACTTGGTAAATCATCCTCCAGGCACGCTGTTCGCAGAGATCTGGCTTTTGAGGTCAGCGTAGGTAATATTAATTCTTTTTTATTGTATATGGAGTTCTGGGAGCCACCGGAGGCGGCAATCTGCATCGAGGGAGTAGCGGAGAAGAGTTCCGCCCCCACGTCGAGCCGGCCCAGTCTATATGCTGTTAAAATTATGAATACTTAGTATCATTTTGTTAGTAATATTTCAGTTGGATACGGGCAGCTATTCTGTAATGTATAGAAACTAGGATAAGATTTGAATATATATCGAATATATATTAATTACTTCTAAATCTCTTACCTGAACAATTTCTTATTAGTCGAATGGATCTTTTGATGACTTTTATTATGTTGTAATCTCCACCCTTAATGCAACATTGTGGGACAGAGGATGACCACTTCTGTAGAAAAGTCATATGTATTCTTTATACTCCGGACGGATGTTTATTGACGACTATGCTGGAACTTCCCACTCCATCATAACAATGGCGGGACAGAAGAGGATGATTCCTGCTAAAAAAACAATTTAATTACATGGATATGAACAGAAAAATGGAAAAATCACCCCCTGCTGCTTTTCGGATGGTGGCGGGGCGGCCTCGTGGAGAGAACCCGCTCTCTATGCGGTCGTCATCGAGTAACGGGACCCTTCTTGTTGCGGGAAAGCAAGAGGGTCGTGACGCTGGAGGTCGAGTCCCTGCCTTCAGTAGGTCTTCGTTAACTGGCAGGTAGGCATTGAATCGGCTGGTCAGATGAGTGACGTTTGGCAGGGGTGACTCCTATCCCAGGGAGACCCCTAGCATTACTGATGCGGAAACGGTTAGGTTTCCGGACCCTAGAATTGCGAATGTGGATAGATCTCAGGAGAATATTGACTATCCTATTGAAGGCAGTTCCTTTGGAAAAGATAGAGATAGAGATAGGGATAATTTAGCTGGCTATAGCAAGGATCCGAATGGACAAACTGATGAAGTAATTAGCTTAATTGAGTCCGATGACGATGTGAGTTTTGTTTCTTACTCTTATGCGGGCATGGAGTCTTCAGCCAATTTTGGAGACAAAATCCTGCGTTTTCGATTGATAGATCCAAAAAAAGAAGACTAAGATCTTCCCTTAAAAATAAAGATAGAGATCGCCTGATCATAGGTCAGAAATTAGAAATTGAAGACAGAAAGAACATAGTTAGATATCTCAGTGTAGCTGATGCTGGAAATCAAATTGTTGAATGGCTTAGCGAAATAGAGAACTGTAGGAGAAAGTCAAGCTCCTTGCAGGACCCGGTCAGCAAAGTAATGAAAGTTAACTTATGGTCGGCGAAAGGAGCGATTGAGGATATTGTCTCTAGGAGAGACGTCAGGAACAAAGAAGTTTTACATGGAGATCATTATCAAGAGCTTAAAGAGGAATTTAATAAGCTTAAAGAGGAACAGGATGCTAAGGCAATCAGTTAAGTCACTTACGGACAAACTGAATAGTAAGAAGTCTTTGGCTGAGAATAACCTTGTAGAACAATCAATATACTCTGCGGTAGCTAGGATACGCTCGGATGAAGGCATGAGTGATTGTCCTTCCGCGGCTGCACGGGATTTACCTGGAACAAATAATATAAATTTCAATGAGAATAATAGAAGAAAGGTGAATAAAGTAGATAGTAGTAGATGTGAAAAATGAGAAGTAGCGAATGAGTTACTTATTCGTATTACGGATACGATGAGATCGCTGCTTGTCGATGACTCAGGAGCGACTAGTGGAAAGAATGTAACTAGACCTAATAACTTGGAGACTCGACGAG